AATTGACTTAAAACTTTTCAAAGATTATTCTTTTAATAAATACATCAACTAAAATCATATTTAGTAAATTATTTTTTAATTTGAAAAAGTGATTGCTGATTATATTTCTTTTATTTACACAAAATACCAAAGTTATAGGGTAAATATTATTTGAGAATATTTGTAATAGTCAAATTAATAAATATAATTAAATTTGTTATATTACTAATACAATAATACATGAAATTAATTAAAAAAGTAATCATATATATTTCCTTCACCTGTTTACACTAAATATCAAAAACTCAAAAAGTTCATACGTAAGTTAATTATTCCAGAAAATTAAAATAAAATAATAAAGTATTATTTAATACTGATAAACAAATACATATAGTCTATTAAGATAGTAGTAATACATAATTCTCAAATTGTTTTCTCTTTTTTAAAAGAAAATTTAAAAACTTAATTTATTGGCTATATATATATATATATATATATATATATATATATATATATATATATATATATATATAAGAAAATTATATGTTTTAGAAATCTCTCATCTGTCCTTTCTTCTTATCCTGCTACTGCGTCAAATTGGAGGTAATTTGTCTTCAAAATTTATTTTTTTCAATCAATGATGTCATTTTATTCTATTTCAACTACATGTTTGTTCTATTATACCTTTGATTGTCAAGTTTAGATCAATTGATGATGTCATTTGATTCAATTATAATTTCTTTCTTTTCTTTAATATTAGTTTTCCTTACATTTCTTTCATTCTATACTATTTTTTCTTTCTCTTCGATCTATAATATAAGAGAATTAAATGTTCTAGAAATCGATCATATGTCATTTCTTTTTATTCTGCCACGTCATCAAATTGAAGGTAATTTGTGTCTAAAATTTACTTTTTTCAATCAATGATGTCATTTTGTTCCATGTTAACTACATGTTTGTTCCATTATGCCTTTAATTATCAAATTTGGATCAATTGATAATATCATCTAATCCAATTACAATTTCATTATTTTCTTTAATATTACTTTTTCTTACCTTTATTTTATTCTATACTATTTTTTTCTCTCTTCTATCTAACAAAAAATAATTCTGAAATCCAACATCTCTTCATTTTATCTCTTTATCTCATATTTCTTCAGCATCTCTTCTCTGCACCTAATCGTGTTTTCATCGAAATCAACAGATCTGAAGTGTAAACCGGTAATGGTGCCATGGTTCTGCATGTGGATTCATAGTGACTTTGTTATGATGATGGTGGCTGCGTGATTGAAGATGGTGGTGCATCTTTCATGGTCGAAAAAGGAAACCGAATAACAAGAGTGATGTGCGATTCAGTTTGCGATTTTATGTGTTTTTTCATTTTTTTTCTTCATATATCTTTTATGACATTTAACTTGCTTCAAAGTTTTGATTATGTTCATGAAATCTAGTTTATATGTTTTTTTTTCTAAATTTGTGTTATTTGTTTCTTTCATTTTCCTGCTCATCCTTAATGTTCTATTTTTGTTTACTAATTTCTATTAATTTATATTTTTTTTATGTATGATCTCTTTTCTTTATTATGACAGAGAAAATCTCACATGAGACATTTTAGGATTTGAAGTTTTTATGAGAATAATGAATTTTTATGCTTCAACCAAGATTTTGAATTTACATCTAAACTAAGATGTAAGCTTTCAAATTTAGAATCTATCCAACTTTTTATATTGTGCGTATGTGTGTCTAACTTGATGATTGAGATTTGACTTTTGCAGCATAACTATAATGGAGAATTGTATATTCAATGGTATAAGCTACAACTCCCCCACCCTTTAATCTGTTATGGAGTCAATAGGTACGAAATCTTGTACACATCATATTTAATTGGTCAAAAGTGCTCATAATTTTTCTCTTAATATTGGATTAAGGAATAAATATGAAGGGTCTTGATAAAATTATTTTAAATATTAGTATTTATATAAAATTATGAAAAATAAATATGAATTAAATTTTAAACTCTATAAAAGACAATATAATATTTTTAATTAAGTTATACTTTTTGAAATTAGTTTATTTTTAATACCTGCACCTATGAAGTTCATTATTTCTTTCTCTTTTCTTAATTTGAATGGATTAATTAATATTAATTTTAAATTTTTTAATTTGAATTGATTTTGTTTTATTTTTCATGACAATTTCTCTTCTCTATTTTTATAGGTTTAAAGTATTAAATACTTGGAATTAGTAAAAAAAAAATTTGAGAAAGTTTTAAACAATTAGAGATCCTCAAATATTTCTAAAGATCCTCGAATATTCCTAAGATAAGCAAATATTTGTTACGGTAAAAAATTTATTATTGATTTTATATATTTATATATAAAAAATAATATTTATGATTCAAATATTTTTTATTTAAAAAATAGTATATGGGAAAAAATTTATTTTTAATCTAAATATTTTTATATACGAAAATTTACTATTGATTCAAATATTTTTGTAAATATACCTAAACAAAAATAAAATTTATATATGGGAAAAAATTTATTATTGATCTATATATTTTTATATAAAAAATGATATTTATGATCCAAATATTTTTTATCTAAAAATGTTATACGGAAAAAAAATCTATTATTGATCTAAAAATTTTCATATACGAAAATTTACCATCGATCAAAATATTAAATGATACCTAAACAAAAATAAAATTTGTATATGAAAAAAATCTATTATTGATCTATATATTTTTATATACGAAAAATGATATTTATGATCAAAATACTTTTGATCCAAAAATAATATACGGAAAAAAATCTATTAATAATTTAAATATTTTTATATACGAAAATTTATTATTGATCCAAATATTTTTGTAAATGATACCTAACCAAAAATAAAATTTGTATAGAGAAAAAAATATATTATTAATCTAAATATTTTTATATATAAAAAATGAATTTATAATCTAAAAATGATATACAAGAAAAAAATTTAATATTGATTCAAATATTTTTATATATGAAAAAATTTATTATTAATTTAATTTTTTTTTAACTTTCTATTTAAACTAAATATATTATACAAACAAATATGTGTATTAGACTAGAGTCTATGTTTATATACGGGTTTGTTATCCGTTTTTCTACAGAAAAAGTATATTATCTTGTATAAGTTATTTTATCAATTTTAATACTATATGCTTTGTAGATTATTTGTTTCAAAAGAAAAAGAATACTTTCTCAAATTAAAAGGAATGAGTTCATCTTTCTATGATATACTCATTTAAGTATCTTACTTTAAAGGTACGTGTTAACATTTGTCATTAACATTTTTCTTAATTATTGTATTCTAATTGGGAAATGATGAATGATTAGCTAGTTGGCAATGAACAATAATATACTAATAAGGGTCCCAATACCAGTTGGTTTACAACACTTAAATCGTAACAGTGCCTAATACATGATCCTTTGCTTCCCAACCCCCAAGAAAAAAAATAAATGAAGATAAATACATTAAAAAAATAAATGAAGATAAATACATAAAGAAAGAGAGAGAGAGAGAGGAACATGGGTCTATTACCATCTAACTCAAGGGTCTTTGGGCTTATATATACCCAAGTCTTAGCCACTACTTGAACACAACAACACACATCATGGCTTCTTCATTTTGGACTCTGTGTTTGATTCTTGCATCACTTGTTTCTTCTTCATTCTGTGCTCTCCCAAGGAAGCCAGTGGATGTACCATTTGGCAGAAACTATTATCCAACTTGGGCTTTTGATCACATCAAATACTTCAATGGCGGTTCTGAGATTCAGCTTCATCTTGATAAATCAACTGGTTAGTACCGTATTATTATTCGTCACTATATAGTTTTAAACCTGTTACTACACTGTTCATGTTTCTAACTAGTTTCCTAAACAGGTACTGGTTTTCAGTCCAAGGGTTCATACTTGTTTGGTCATTTCAGTATGAACATTAAGATGGTTCCTGGTGATTCTGCTGGAACAGTTACTGCTTTCTATGTATGGTCAAAAGAAATATATATAGTAATTTTCTATTATTATTATTTTTAGTATTTTGTTGTAATGACCTATGTATTGCTGAAACTATTTTACAGTTATCTTCACAAAATTCTGAACATGATGAGATAGATTTCGAGTTCTTGGGCAACAGAACTGGACAACCTTACATCTTACAAACAAATGTGTTCACTGGTGGACAAGGTAACAAAGAACAAAGGATCTTTCTTTGGTTTGATCCTACAAAAGAGTTTCACAGATACTCCATTCTATGGAACATGTACCAGATTGTGTAAGCACCACTTTACTCAACTATTATTACCCTAATCTTAAACGATCTTACTTAACCTATGATTGTTTTGTAGGTTCTATGTGGATGATGTTCCAATAAGGGTATTCAAGAACAGCAAGGATTTGGGAGTGAAATTCCCATTTGACCAACCAATGAAGATATACAACAGTTTATGGAATGCAGATGATTGGGCAACAAGGGGTGGATTAGAGAAAACAGATTGGTCAAAAGCACCATTCATAGCAGGTTACAAAAGTTTCCACATTGATGGCTGTGAGGCATCAGTGAATGCAAAATTCTGTGCAACACAAGGAAAGAGATGGTGGGATCAAGTTGAGTTTCGTGATCTTGATGCTGCTCAATGGAGAAGATTAAAATGGGTTCGAGAGAAATTTACCATATACAATTACTGCACTGATAGAAAACGTTTACCTCAAATTCCTCCAGAATGCAAAAGAGACCGTGACATTTAAACTTTATCATATGATATCATATGATACTGTATTTGTATTATTTACTCTTTCATTATTACGAGCTTTCAACAACAATGTCACGTTGTTGTCAAGATATAAGACAATTCCATATCCCATTGTATCGTATCATTATTTATTGCCACTATTGTTCCATTTTAGTACTACTGTAAATTTTATTATATAGTCACTCTTGTCATTTTATTCATTTTATTCTATTCTGGTGCACTGCTAATAATTATGGCAAAGTGCTGGAGAACAAGTTGAAACTTGCATAGTTCTGTGTTGTTTTTTCAAATTTGTAGATCTGTGTTCTGAATTCTGATCCATTGGTCCCGTAGTAGAAAGTGTGGTGATGCTTTGTTATTGAAAATTGGGACAAAAAAGACACTGGACCCTCTAACGTGGCTCCACTGAGCACAACCCATGTGCACTGCATAGGAGCAGTTGCAGTGAGTACTATAATTTAATAATATTAGGCTTCAATCTTAGGTCGGTTTAAGAACTTTATTATCTAATAATATTGGTTTGGCACGTGTGATCATGTGTTTTGATGTGCGTAATTACTAAAGCATGTAGTTAGTTAATGTCATATAACATGAATATTGATGATAATAACAATGTAAGTAAGTTGATTATTAATTTGACAGGTACTTATGAATATGATAGCACTAGATATGTCTTGCATTGTTTTTAAAGCCGTAATCAACGGTTTGAAGAGCTAAAATGTGATGATATAATTTATAATGCAGTTGATTAAGGATCTAGATTTAAACTTCTACATCATTTAGAGCATAAACATCATCAGTGCCTTGCCATTGTGTCAAAAAAATAATGTATATTTGGTTGATTGTATTGTTGGTTAGTTTGCTATACTTGAATGTAGGTAAAAATCTACTTTAAATGTAGGTGCTCTTAGGTGAGAATTCAAAGTGAAAGGAATAGATTTTCTATGGTGGCGTGAAATGTTAGACCATTGAATAAATAAGAGATGTGATATAAAAAATGCAAGAAAAATGTTTAAAGGCGGATAAAAAAGATATGTGAAAATATAAGAAATAAATTGAGAGAAATAATTTTTTAAACCGGAATACATTGGATTTTTTTCCGATTAGGTAAATGTTTGATTTCAAGTTTGGAACATCCAAAATTGAATTTGAATATGTAGAATTGGTTTTGATATGTTTGGTTATTCTTAAGTATAATTGATTATATTATTTTAGGATTTAAAATTTGTAGTTTTTGAACTTATACGTGATTTTTATATTGAATTTATTCTTTAATAAACTTTTACAAGAATTTATCCAAATATATATTATTTTCCCTTCAACTCACTTTTAATTAGAATCAATTTTATAAAAATAATTAAATTAATTTTCTTTACTGGTTCAAACACACGCTAAGTTTAATGTCTAAACCATCAATAATATGATCATAAAAGAAGTTCAACTTGATGGTCAACTGAGTGTTGATGGAGGCAACATATTCTTGAGGGTCGCTCATTTCATCAAATTTTGTAAATAATGGAGGTTTGAAATTTTCTAGTATAGCCCCCTCCCTCGAATTTCGTCGGAAAAAGGCTAGGGGTTCATAATTTTAATTTCCCCGGGTAGATCGACCTCTTGTTGGAAATTCTAGAGGATGATGACGTTGTCCTCCAGAGTTTGATTGTGGTAGCACCTCATGTTTGTACCATCTTGAGCTGGTGATCGAGGTAGTTTCTAAGGTGAGTAAGGGTAGGTTAGTTTTACATAGGCCTCCACTGTGGACGCCAATTGTACTTGCTAAAAGTAGGGGTGGTAAAACGGGTTCGAACCGTTGGGAAAGCCTGTTTTGCCCGCACTTTAATGTGGGGCAGGTCAAAGGTTTAGGCCCTCATCCTCTAATGTGTTCGCTCCGCCCTACCCCGTTTTCTATGCGAGCTTTTACGGGCACGTGTATTTACATAATTTTTTGTATTTTTAGGCTTAAAATGGGCAGTGTCTGCAGACTTTCCCCGTCCCACCCTCACTTTTTGGCGAGGCGAGGATTGGTTTTAGGCCTGCATCATCAATAATGGTCGCCCCGCCCCGTCCCGTTTTTTTGCGGGCTTTTGCGGGGCAGACCTAAATGGAGCGGGCATGCCCGTTTGCCACCCCTAGCAAAAAGTACAATAATGATAGAATGATGACCTTCTCACATAATGATTATAAGGAATCCTATATTTTTCTCTCCTGAAACTTGTCTCAGGTATAACCTTGGAGGCTTAGGGTATACATAGATGCTCATGGACTTAGCTAAGGTTGGATCCCATAACCCTATCATGAAGAATGTAGGGGTAAAGAGATTTTTTTCTCCGTAGATTTAGGGAGACAATTTTCTTCTATCCTTGATAATCTTCCACTATTATATCCCAGGGATAAACGAGAGAGAGAGATCATAGGTGGGAAACTTAAATCCTTGTTTAGCGATTAGCAACTTCCATTCACGAGACCATAACACTTAGGGCTCCCAAACCCGCTTTGGGCGACTAACCCATTTTTTCCCTTAGTTGGGCTTTAACCATAAGTGTATTTTGTCATATGACATTCTTTATTTAGGACAAAATAAATTATCCTAGTCCCCAACCCCTTAAGCATGAGGCATTAGAAAGGATGAAGTTAGTTAATTATGGTGTACCACCATCGTGAAGTTCCACGAATTTTATACAATGAAGTTTGGGGTGAGTCTCTCAAGCATCATCTAGGGAAAATCCCTCAAGCATTACCTAGGGCGAGTCCCTCAAGCAAAGCATAAGACGAGACCCTCAAGCATCACCTGGAGCGAGCCCCTCAAATGAAGCATGTGGTGAGTCTCTCAAGCATCAACTAGGGTAGCACATACAACATTAAATGCTTCGAATGATGAATTCTCCTTGGGAAGCCAAGTCTGCAAAAGACCCTTGGTTCCTTAACACGTGTCAGGACGTGAAACGTGTGTCAGTTCATTCTGCAATAGTTGGTGTGTCCCAGAAAGAAGGCAAGCACAATCTACATTACCTAGGTTTTCGGTCTTTATAAGGGAACCCCTCATCTCGTTAGTACTTACATTATTCCAAAGTCTCATCTTCTAGCAATTTAAACTGAATTCAACTTCTCTCTCCAGTTTTCGTCCTCCCCACAAACATGTATAATCCCTTCCTCTCTTTCTTCAATTTTATTTTTCCAAAAATGACAATTATTAGCCACTACGCCATATAAGTGAATAGATAGTGCTTTTATTTGCCATAGACAACGCTTTAAAGCGCTGTCTATTCCTACATTGTTGTAAGTAAAGATGACGCTTTTTGTCAATGTAAAAGTGTTGCTTAATGTAGCCTTTACATAACACTTTATTCAATAAGCGCTCTCTAAAAGCCCCTATAGGCATCACTTTTTACATCATAAGCGCTTTCTAAAGCACCCCTTTAGACATCACTTTCACTTTAGACATCGATTTTAAAAGCATTGTGTAATGTATATTTTTGTTCACTTTTTTGTTTGTTTTAGGCAGCGCTTTCTTTAAAAGCGCTCTCTAAAGTCCTTTTAGGCAGCACTTTTTACTTTAGAAGCGCTTTTTAATGCTCCCCTTTAGGCAACGCTTTCTTTAAAAGTGCTTTCTATTCCCCACTATAGGCAGCGCTTTTTTGTTTAAAGTGTTGTCTAATCTTCACGAATTTTTTTAATATATACAGCTTATATTTTAAGCGCTCTCTATAAATAATCACTTAAAATAAACGATGTCTTTCACATTTGCACCAGATTTCATAAATTTGCAGCTTCAATCTAATAAATATGCACCAAATTAACATATTTATATATACAACTTTAATCCAATGATTTATATTGTAGGGTAGAAATGTTGAGACTAAGCCATTGGATTGACTTGACTCGCACAGATCAAATAAAAATCACCATTGCACTTTATTGTTTCCAAAGGAATAGGAAAAGAGCGAATAACCCAAAAAGAGGGGGAGAGAATCTAAGTTCGGGGGTTGGTTATGCAAAGGGAAGGTATTAGCACCCTAAACATCTATGATACTCCGCAGGAACCTCTTTCAAAATTTGTGTATTTTGGCTATAAGAGTTGTATACAAAAAATAGATTATGGGGACGAGAAAATAAGTTTTTTGTATACAATTTTTGCACCCGCCGCGGTTGCGAACCTTTAGTGCCTACGTACCACCTTCTGTGTAATAGGGGATCAGGGTACTCGTAGTTCACCTTTAAAAAATCTAAAACACATGTGTATTGGTTAATTTTAAGAGATGAGACATCATCGTCTTATCCGAGTGAAAGAACATACTTATTACCCACGACTATGAGAAATGTGAATTTGCATCATCTTAAAGTGGAGGATATAGCTTGGATTTTTAAATCAACAAATCTTCACTCAACACCCAAGTGGAAAATGTCTCACTTCACTATATATTGTAGAAGTATAGTAGTTCGCATCACTACAAGGATTGGCAAGAGTCTAATCTTTTGAGAAAATTTTAAGTTAAAAAGCCAAAGTGGAAAAATGATTTGAATGAGATTGATTGACTTTTAGTCTTCTCATAAAAAGTGTCAAAGTATTGTTAAGTTAGTTAAAGTTTGATTAAGAAAATATTTTGAAAATGCATGGACCTAAGTCCAAGTTTATTGTGAAAGCGGTTCAAGTTAGAAGACAAGAAGAGTTTTGAAAATGATGGAAAAGATTTTTGAAATTAAAGAAGATGGGAGGAGATGAAGGGACTATCCTAAAGCAATAAGCTAAAAAGCTAGGGAAAAGAACCGTCTAACCAACAAGAAGCCAACACTTGACACAATGAGTCAATTTAGAATTCTCATCCTTTAGATTTGAAACCAAACAAGCAAAGATAATAAACCTCTTAAGAAAATCAAGCTTCAAATGCATTGAGTCTTCACAAAAATTGGGCAAAGTAACGGTTGTATACAGATGAATTCCCAATCACAGACAAAACACATAATCAGAATAATTTGTACACAAATAAAACAAACAACCCAATGTCTCGGGGTAAACCCCAAGAACTCCAGACAAAATAGCAATAGAAGTCACAAGTTCTCCAGGTAGGTTGAGGTCTCTAATCCTAAGTCCAAGAAGTCCATAACTCCACAATGCCAAGGATAGTAACCAAGTAGTCCAAGTAACATTAAAGTTTTTTATTGTTTAAGTTGATTATTAAGTATATTCAAAAATAAAATTAAAGCTCAAGTGAGCAAAATAAGAATGACATAAAGATAAGTGCACAAGTGAGCAAAGAAGAAAATAGCATGAAATGTAAATGCTAAAATAAATGGTGCGTAAAAGTAAAGGTGTATAGTAAAAGCATAAAAATAAAGTCAATTATTAATGAGTTATAAATTAGAGGTTAGTTGAATGAATATCTTGAATGTTGAATTTGAAAACTCATTAGAAGATTGATAAAATCAAAGCCTC